AATAGTAAGTGAACTCTTAGATATTTGGGTGTGTATGTATACTTTAATAAATGAAAAAAGAATAATAGATTGTCATCATTTTACAACCCTCATGGAATGAATTGATTTAGGCGTTGAGTATCAGGAGCTCCTAACATCACAAAAGCATATAACCAGACATTATGTGTTATTTGATAGAAGAACACAGTACCATCTATAGTCTAGCCAAAAGGATTAAACATGAGACTGATCAAGCTATTGCATTCTGCTGCCAGTTTGCAGGAAGTACAGAAGCCAGGGATACTTCCCCTGGTGGCTTAGTGGTAAAGAATCCACCTACCAATGCAGGAGACCTGGGTTTGATCCCTGGGTTAGGAAGATCCCCTGGGGAAGGAATGACCACCCACTCCAGTATTCTTGCCTGGGAAATTCCATGCATGGAGGAGCCTGCTGCCCTGCAGTCCATGGAGTCGCAAAAAAGTCTGACACAGCTTAGCTACTAAACAACAACAGAAGCCAGGGGACCATACTGAATTGTTCCATGAATATGAAGTGATTATACTGGGAAGCCTACAGGTTAAATATCTTGAGTTTCTGAGTAATTATATGGAATATAAAGAGATCAAGGGGCAACTTATGTATTAGAAGATGCATAAAATTTAGCAGGGGGAGTCTGAAAGATATAAAACAAGAAATGGTTCATTCTGAAAAGGAAAGATAGAAATCACTAAAAATTTTATGTCTTTTGAAAAGTGAAGACAAAATTTTTAGTGATTTCTTTCCTTTTCAGAATTTCAGTGATTTCTTCTTTTGTTTTAAATCTTTTCAGACCCCTCCAAATTATAATACATATGGACATTTATGGATATGCTTTGCAAACACATAACTGTGTATACATACAATGTTTATACATACGTACACATAGATATACTATCGTTTTTCTTTTAAAATGTTCAAAATGTGTTTGTTAGCTTTGAAACATGCTTTCCTCATTCAGTAGTTGTGTCTTCATCTTTTCCCCTTAGAAGAGGTAACTTTTTACATAATTTAACTTCCACATAACATTTCCTTTCATATTATTGCTAACATAATTTAAAAACATATATTAATGATAAGCAGCTTATTTCCAAATTTTCTTTGTTTCAAACTAATCTATAGTGAATATCCTTCTGCATGTATTTCTCCCTAAACTACTCCCTAAACTAAGTTGTGGAGTATCTTTAAAGCTGAAAATATAGTAACAAGTTTCCTTCCTTATAGTGTATCTGTTGTTAAGGTATAGAGATGTATAAATTTTGCTTTCACTCATTTGAGCATATAAACTGTTTTGTAAGTATGTCTGTGTTAACTTTAATGTTACTCAGGATAAAGTTAGTAAATTCTTTTCAGTAGTTTTGAAAATAATTGAAGTCTACATGTAAAAATAGATTTCTTATATCCTGTTAAATAAACCGGCTGATGTTGATTTCTTTTGTTGATGTTGATGGTTGTTGTTTTCTGTGTAATTGTACCATTTCACAGAGGATATAGTTTAAAAAGTGACGCTGGGAGTTGTGTAGTAACTTTCAGTGGTCAAATTCATAGTTAAGTTTTTTAAAATATATTTTACAGTATATATGTTTGTCAGAATACCCCAAATATTCCTCAGTAGTGCTGTTTCTTCTAAGATTAATTCCTTAAAGTATAATTACTAGAGAAGTAGAAATATTTTCAGGACTTTTAAAATATTTTACCAGATTGTCCACCAGGAAAAGACCTCTACCAGGAAGCCCATTTCTCTGAATGTTGGCACTGTAATTTTTACTTCCTAAAAAGATGAGCATGTTTTCCTATAAGTTTACAGACCCAATTGTATGTCTTTTGTGAGTATCCCTTTATTATGTTTGTTGACTCATATTCTTCCCCCAGTGATTTATGAGAGCCAGCCTGTAGGGCTAATAATCTTGTTGTTTTAAACATTTGTTTTCTTTTGTGCCTTGTTTGTGATTTCTTTATATGTGTGTTTAATTTGGGGATGGGTAGCTAAGTTTCTTCTGGTTTTGTGTATGTGCTTAACAGATTCCCAGCCTGGGATGAGAAACATGCGCTTTTATTTTCTTCTCATTCCTATAATTATGATTTCTTTTACTGCTGTGTATGGTATGAAGTAGATTTGGTTTTCTTAAAATTATGTTAATCTTTTAAAAATAGAATGTGTGTGCATGTGAGAGAGAGAGGCAAAGATTTTTTTATAAGTAAAAGTATAGTTATCTAATAACTAATTTTCAGTTAGAATTTGAAAAGGCTGAGTGTTTTTGTTTTTTGTGTTTTTTTGTACAAGTTATTAGGATAAGAAGACCAGACTAAATTAGCTGACTTTGGCTTTGTATGTTGACTTCACTTAAATATATCTTTAGAGATACAGTGTTCAGCTAACATTGGGTAAAAAATGGACAAATCAGTGTTCAGGTTTCTTTTTCACCTAGCTTTGAAGTCATTTGTACTTACTTTTCATTGTGGTAAAAATACATATAAGATGAAATTTACCACCTTAACCATTTTTGAGTTTGCAGTTCAATGGTATTATATGCGTCTACATTGTTGAACAACCATCACCATCATCCATTCCCATAACTTTTAATCTAGTAAAACTGAAATTTTATGCCTGTTGAACAGTAACTCAGAATTCTCTACTGACACCAGTCCATGACAACCACTGTTCTACTTTGTCTTTATGATTTTGACCACTCTTAAGTACCTCATGTAAGTGGAGTCATACAGTATTTGTCTTTTTGTGACTGGTTTATTTCACTAGCATAATGTCTACAAGGTTCATCCATGTTGTAACATATTACAGAATTTCTTTTGTTAGGGCTGAATAATTGTGTATATATACCTCATTTTGCTTATCCATCCATCCATTGGTAGATACTTGGGTTTCTTCCATGTTTTAGTTACTGTGAATAATGCTAGTATGAACACTGGTGTAGAACTCTCTCTTCAAGACCATGCTTTCAGTTCTTTTGGTTATATGCTCAGAATTGGAATTCTTGGGTCATATGGTAATCATATGTTCAATTTTTTTTAGGAACCACCATACTATTTTCTACGGTGGCTGTACCATTTTACATTTCTACCAATAGTGCAAAGCGTTCTGATTTCTCTACAGCCTTACCAATGTTTGTTTTCTGTTTTTTTTTAACCAGTTTTTTTTTTTAATAATTCTTTTACTGAACTATAGTTGGTTTACAATGTTGTGTTAATTACTGCTGTACAGCAAAGAGATTCAGTTACAAATATGCATCCTTTCTTATATATGTACATATATGTATTCTTTTCATTCTTTTCCATTATGGTTTGTCATAGAATATTAAATATATTTCATATATTTCTCTGTGCTGTACAGTAGAACCTTGGCTATTTTTTTAGGAGTAGCCATTCCAGTGATTGTCAGGTTTTCATTTGCGTTTCTCTAATGATAGTGATGTTAAACATCTTTTCATGTGCTTACTGCCTCTTTGTAGGTCTTTTTTGGAATTCTTTGCCCATTTTTTAATTGAATTGTTTGTTTTTGTTGAATTTTAGAAGCTTTCTGTATATTCTGGACATTAATCCCTTGTCAGATATATGATTTGTAAATATTTTCTCCCATTTCTTTTCACTCTCTGGATAGAGTCATTGGATGCACAAAACTGTTGCTTCTGCCTTTGGTGTCATAGCCAAAAACTAATAGCCAAATGCAATGTCTTAAAGCTTTTCCTCTAACTATTTTATTCTTTTAAGTCTTACATCTATGCCCTTGATCCACCTTGAGTTAATTTTTGTATATAGTATTTCGTAAGGGTCCAGCTTCATCCTTTTATGTGTCATTATGTGATTTTTGCAGCACCATTTGTTGAAAAGATTGTCTTTCCCTACTGAATGGTCTTGGCATCCCTCTGAAAAATAATTTGTGTGTGTGAGGGTCTTTTTCTGAATTCTGCTTCGTTCCATTGGTCCATATGTCTGTCTTCATGCCAATAACAAACTGTTTTGATTACTGTAGCTTTGTAGTAAGTTTTGAAATGAGAAAGAGTGAGCCTTTCATCTTTGGTCTTTTTTTTTTTTTTCATGGTTATTTTGGCTATTTGAATCCCTTTGGATCCAAATGAATTTTAGGATGGGTTTTTTAATTTCTATAAAAAAATGTCATTGGAGTTTTGATAGGAATTTGATTAAATTTGCAGTATTGCTTTAAGTATTATTGACATCTTACCAATATTAAATCTTAACCTGTGAATACAGGATGTGTTTCCATTTATTTATGTTGTTCATGGCCCAAGTCTTTCACCTTGTTGGTTGAGTTCATTCCTGGTTTTTTTTTAATGCTATTGTAAATAGAATTGTTTTCATAGTTTTCAGATTGTATGTGTATAGAAATACAACTGATTATGTGTAGAAATGCAGCTGATTTTTGTGTGTCGACTTTTGTAGGATACAAAGCAGTGTCCCATTGCTTTGCTGTATTCAGTAGTTCTGACAGCTTTTTTGCTGAGTCTTTATTGATAGAAGATAGAGATAAATCTGCTTCTTCTTTCCAATTTGATGCCTTTTATTTCTTCTTCTTGCCTTATTGTTCTGGCTACGTCTTCCAGTACCACGTTGAACAGAGGTGGTAAAATTGATCCAAATTAAACACAGTATACATCCAAGTTTTCCCCTGATGTTGCACGCCTTCAGCATACTCAAGATTGCAGAATTACATCAGACAGGTTATGCCTGTGCAGCTGTTACTTAGGTGGGGGCAACAGATTTCTGGTGTTTCTTACTTTGCCATCTTCCCAGATTCTGAATTATTTTTAATAATCAGATAACTTTTTAAATATTGGCATGACTTTAAAATGGAGAACCGTGTCTCTCAGACTTTCTGTATTAAACCATAAAATACACTTTTCATGTAGCTAAATATTATTATTTGGGTAGTTCTGAAAATCATGATTTGAATCAAATTCATGTTGCTTTTCAGAGCTTTCTCATATTTAATAATACTTTGTGTTTTACAGAAATACCGGTATCAGGATGAAGATACACCTCCTCAAGAGCACATCTCTCCACAAATCACTAATGAGGTGATAGGTCCGGAATTGGTTCATGTCTCAGAGAAGAACCTGTCAGAAATTGAAAACGTCCATGGATTTGTTTCTCACTCTCATATTTCACCAGTAAAGGTAAGATAATAATTTTGTTGCTATGAGTTATTTGTTACTTTTGTTATTAATGTCACACATGCTTAGAGGGAACTGTTCTTTCATGTATGATTTTCCGACCTTAGTTGTTTCTGGTTTTTATAGTTGCAAGAAATTTCATGTTATTTATTAGCATTCTAAAGATATTTTAAAACTGTATTTTATAAATAAATTTTATTCATTGATATGATCTTGAAGCCTAAGAGTCCTCATGAAGGAAATAGGTATTATATTTCAAATACTCAAAATGAAATATTTTTAAACTTGTAAAAAAATAAATTAGTAGGTTCAGAAAAAGAGCTTAACAGTATTTTTGAAGTCCAGTATGTGGCTTTACCTGACACCATCACCTTGTTTCTTCCCTCAGGAATAACCACAGTCCTGGTTTCACAAGTTTAGATTTCTAATCAATATATTCTTTCTTTGCCTGTGTTTGTTTTATATAGTTGGAATTATACTATGTGTAATCTCAACTTGCATTTTTTGCTCAACATTATATTCTCAAAATTCATTATTTTCACTGCCCTAGAGTTTTCTATTTTATGAATATACTATAACTTACCTTATTTTTGATGGCTGTTATTTTCAGATTATTAGTAGTGTTAAAAATGTGGTTAAAATTGTAGGTTATATATAACATCTTTACAGATAACACCAGATTATTTTTCCAACTGGTTGTATAATTTATATTTTCAACACTAGTATGTAACAGTTTTAATTGATCTATAGTCTCAATATTTTCTATTTTTTTTGCCATTGTTTTGGGTTTGAAGTAGCATCTTACTGGGATTTTAGTGTACATTGCACTGTTTGATAATACTGATCATTTAGATTTCCTATTCTGTGACATACCACCTCAATAATTTTTTTCATTTTTGTATTGGATTTTTCTTTTTACTGATTTGTACAAGTTCACTATATATTCTGGATTCTAATCCTTTGTTCAGTTCAGTTCAGTTCAGTCGTCGTGTCCGACTCTTTGTGATCCCATGAATCTCAGCACGCCAGGCCTCCCTGTCCATCACCAACTCCCGGAGTCTACTCAAACCCATGTCCATTGAGTCAGTGATGCTATCCAATCATCTCATCCTCTGTCATCCCCTTCTCCTCCTGCCCCCAATCCTTCCCAGCATCAGGGTCTTTTCCAGTGAGTCAACTCTTCGCATGAATTGACCAAAGTACTGGAGTTTCAGCTTCAGCATCAGTCCTTCCAGTGAACACCCAGGACTGATCTCCTTTAGGATGGACTGGTTGGATCTCCTCGCAATCCTTGTTAGTTGTATATATTTTATATAAGAACATTTCCTACTAGTAAACCTTAAAAGTGGGTTTTGTAATTCTCTTTGAGGGATGATTTCATATTACTGGTTAAAAAATTTAATGATTATATAGTATCACTAAGATTTTTAGTTAATAATTTTTCTAGGTATTTGTGCATTTCATATTTACTTTGAAATATTCTCAACATCCTATTTTTTTTAATGTCTGCAGCATATTTAGGTGTAGCCCCCTTTTCATTCCTAGTATCGTTTATTTATGCCTCCCCCCCCCCCCCCCCCGCCCCGAATTATTCTTGCCAAAGGTCACTTTCAGAGAACCATGTCTTTTACTAGAAAACAGACTGGTGGTTGCCAAGGGAAGGGGGTTGGAGGAGGGATGGATTGGAAGGTTGGGACTAGGAGACGAAAGGTTTTCTATATAGAATGGATAAACAGAAAGGTCCTACTGTATAGCACAGAGAACTATATTCAGTGTCCTATGATAAACCATAATGGAAAGAGTACTAAAAATGTATATATATGTATAACTGAATCACTTGGTTGTATAGCAGTAATTAATACAACATTGTAGATCAACTATATACCTAAATAAGTAAATAAGAACATGTCTTTTAAAAGAAATCTTCTCCTGTGCTCCTCCCCCATGTGCTGCCACACCCACCCCCTTTCATATACACATATACATATACATATACACACACACACACACACACACACACACACACACACACATGCTTATGTACATATATAAATGTGTGGATAGCCTCCATATCAATCAAAGATTGTGTTTGGCAGAGGCAGTCTGATCTTCCCCTGGGAGGATAAATGAAAGTAAAGTACACAGGGGGAAAAAATCAGTTGGTTATTAGTGACAGAGACAGTTTTCCTTCTATTTTTTCCCCTTTCTCCTCTTACCAGTATTATTTTATTTTTCTTACTTTCCATGAGTTTATTCTGTTTGATTTTTTTTCCCCGTAGCTTCTCAGTTTGGTTGCTTATTACATTATCAGCTTTTTCTAATGCTATTTGAATTTGTAAATTTCCCTTTAAATAGCACTTTATCTGTAACCTACAGGTTTAATATGCAATGTTTATCATCATTCAAGCTTTTTATTTCCATTATGATTTTTTCTTTGCCCCATGAGTTGTTTAAAAATATTTTAATTGCATTGCATGCATGCTCAGTTGTGTCTGACTCTTTGCAATGTTATGGACTGTAGTCAGCCAATCTCCTCTGTCCATGTAATTTTCCAGGCAAGAATACTGGAGTAGGTTGCCAGTTTCTACTCCAGGGAATCTTCCCAACCCAGGGATTGAACCCACATCTCCTGTGTCTCTTTCACTGGCAGGTGAATTCCTTACCACTGCACCATCTGGGAAGTCCCTATCATGTCTTCTTTTCAATCTTATTTTTTCATCTCATTTTTCCTTCTCACTAGCTTGGAAGTTCTGTTTCTTTTCCTTTGATGGTCATTCTTGAAATTGTTTTAGAAGCTTTAATATACATGTTTCACTGACAGAAATTTAAACAATAAATTTACTCTCATTTTGAAAAACAAAAGAATCTTAGAACACGAATTCTGAGCACTCCTTCCTGCTTTATATGCTGTTCTTATCAGCCTATGCCTATATTCTCTTGACTGAATTAATAAAACCTATTTCTTCAGTTGAAAATCCCTCCCAGGTATGTATGATTCTTGTTTCTAATATTTTGGATTTTTGGTGATTATGATTGTTAAAAATTGTCCAAAGTCAGTTTGCACACACTCAGGCTCTCAGTTTTTTTGTAGGTGTTTGGTAGTTACTTCTGTAGATATGCAGATTCTCATATAAGCAGACATTTAAACAGGTAATGAGCCAGGTAACATAAAGTATTTTATATAGCCTCTTTTAAAAATTATTTGTTTATTTATTTGGCTGGGCTGGATCTTAGTTGTGGCATGTGGGATCTATTTCTCTGACCAGGGATTGAACCTAGTTCTTCTGCAATGGAAGCGCAGAGTCTTAGCCACTGGACCTCCAGGGAAGTCCTTAGCCTCTTTAAATATGATGAAGCCTCAACTTTCTGTTATTGCATAAAATGCTCACTCTCAGCAAATAAAATAATATTCTAGAGACCAAGATTTTGTTACATAGAATTTCTAGACATCTTGGGGATTAAACCTAAGGTGCCATCCCTAAGGCTTGAAGCCTCTTCAGAGACTTTTCTTTCCCTTGTACATGAGTGGATTGTGTCTTTAATTCAGCCAATCCATATAAATGAAGTATAATGAGTTTCAGCAGTGAAAGCCCACTTCATTCATTATATTTGGGGAGCTTTTGGTGTTAAAGATAACAAAGTTCCTACAGTAGCCATTTACTTTATACTTAAATGTTAGCTGACCGGCCTAGGAATGTGAATTCTTGATTAGGACAACTGACTGTCCATAAAGTAATAGTTCTCAGCTGTGGCTGAACATTGAAATCACTTTAAAAAGTTTTAAAATTTATATCTCAGAGATTAAGATTTAATTGTTCTGGGATAGAGTCTGACTTTGGAGAGTTATGACAGTTCTCTAGGTGTTTCTGGTAGATGGCCACTGTTGAGAAGCACTACCTTAGAACCTAGCTTAATTGAACCACCAGACACATCTTTACTGTCTGTCTTGAAGTATTTTAAAGTGGATTTCTGACATCTTTTAATTTACTCCTCACTCTGCAGTGAGACTAAGTATTTCCAGTTGTTGAAAGAGAAAATGTTATTACTTTTTAAAGATTTTCTCTCACTTGCTTCCTTAATTTGACTCCTTTTCTCCTGACTTTCTTACCATAAGAGAACTAAGTCAGTTTTGCCTTATTCTTTTGGTATCTGCTTTAAAAATCCTTTTGTCCTTTGCAGTTAATTATTAAAACAATAAAGGATTATATCTCTCATCGCATTTCCCCCCTTCCCGGGCTTTTTAAAGACAAGTTTGACAGTTCAGTTCAGTTCAGTTGCTCAGTCGTGTCCGACTCTGCGACCCCATGGACTGCAGCACACCAAGCCTCCCTGTCCGTCACCAGCTCCCGGAGCTTGCTCAAACTTACGTCCATCGAATCGGTGATGCCATCCAACCATTTCATCCTCTGTCGTCCCCTTCTCCTCCTGCCTTCAATCTTTCCCAGCATCAGGGGCTTTTCCAAAGAGTCAGTTCTTCACATCAGGTTGCCAAAGTATCGAAGCTTCAGCGTCAGTCCTTCAAATGAATACTCAGGACTGATTTCCTTTTAGGATTGACTGTTGGATCTCCTTGTTGTCCAAGGGACTCTCAAGAGTCCACCACCACAGTTTAAAAGCATTAATTCTTTGGCACTCAGCTTTCTTTATGGCCCAACTGTCACATTCATACGACTACTGGAAAAACCATAGCTTTGACTAGACAAACTTTTGTCAGCAGAGTAATCAGAACAAGATCCAGTTTCCCCCACAGTCAGTATCTCCCGTCAGGAAGCTTCCGTAAGCCTCTTATCCTTACTCATCAGAGGGTAGACAGAATGAAAACCACAATCACAACCACAAAACTAACCAAACTGATCACATGGACCATAGCCTTGTCCAACTCAATGAAACTATGAGCCATGCTGTGTATAGGGCCACCCAAGATGGACAAGTCATGGTGGAGAGTCCTGACAAAATGTGGTCCACTGGAGAAGGGAGTGGCAAACCACTTCAGTATTCTTGCC